CCCCAAAACCCCAAAACCCCAAAACCCCAAAACCCCAAAACCCCAAAAATATTCCATGTTTATAAATATTCGAGGATAATATTTCATCTAAATTAAATGGGCTTATGAACTATATTTCTAGACTTTTGGAGTCATCCAGCTAGATCCTTTTGATTATAAAATGATTAAAAAGCTTGAGAGTTTCTATTAGATGTGTATAGACCCCAAAAACTAAGACAGGACTTATACTGAGTGTTTCCAATACACTTAGAGGCTCTTTTCAGGCTTATTGGCTCCATGAGTTTCTATCTTCGCTAACTATTGCACATAAAGGTTCTCTACCCGGCCATGGTAAGGTCTGACACTTGGATCCAAAATATGAAAGGTAGGGTTCAGACAAGTTGATTAGAGAAAATTATGCTGGAAGGACGATTACTGGTCACCCCTTCTCTTAGGAATATAGCTTCTGTTCCTAAAATGCCTAGCTGGATTCTCTTCATTAACAAAGATCGTTGGTTTTGTCTCTGGCTTTGCAAACTGAGCACGGAGGCTAGTATGACACTGCTGGTTTTTCATCAACTCGAAGTCACCATTGGATGGGTCATTTCCACTCTCGTTCCTTCCGAAGCTGACTTCTTTGGCTTCTTCTTTCCAGTAGATCCTTTCACTAGGTCTAAGGAGTTAGGTATGTTGGCACTTACTTTGAAGGAATCATGATCTTTGAAGCAATCTTCTCTGTGTTAAGAAAGCCCATCAGTTTGGGCTTGACGTCAGAACAAGTAACCTTGTTCTCGTTCAAGCTTGTATTATTGGCATTCTTGTTGAGGAAGGATGACTCAACGGAGCTCTCGTTGATTTTGAAATTTACAAGATCGTAATCTATTTGGTCTTGCAAAGTTGACCTGCTCAGATTTGGGGCTGTGTTGTTCTCCTTAAAATCTTCCTTAGTGATGTTCTTGAAAACATCCGATCCGTTACTGTGAAGTTTCGCTATGAAATTATCGGACATGGTTTACCAAAGTCAGAATCATGAATCATTCTTTCATGGCAACTGAAGTAGTACTCGAGTTCGTCATCTTCATTTTCTCCCTCATCTTCACTGTGCTCAGGAGTATCAGTCTGTTTGGACATGACCTCTCGGTTGCCGTAGAACTCAGGACTGTTGTCGGCAAATGAGTTTTGGCATTGAGAGCTCCCTTCCTTATTCTCTTCGTTGATATCCACAAGTGCAGGTTGGTAATCGTAAGGAAATTTCTCCTTGGATTGGCCGACTACAGGATCACTCCTATCAATAGTGTTTCTGGAGAATTCATCACCTCCTTCTTGGCTGTAGTACTGGCTGCTGAGCTCTTCTTCTACCTTACAGAGACTGGTTTGAAGGTAGCCTTCTCCTTCTCACTCACCTTCAAAGATGTGTGTATCAGTGGCGTTGTTGTTCTCTTCAGCTCAGCCCTCGTAGCCTTCTTCAGACTTTCGAGTCTGCAGGTTTAGAGTAATTTGGCTGGAGATCTCCTCTAGTTGGATCTGGGCTGTAGCCGCTGTCGTGTCAATCCTTCCGTTAACTTCTTTATAGAGTGTCCAGACTAGGTTCTCGAGTTTCGTGATCCTATCTTCCATTATTGACATCTGCTGTTGGTGATCAGAAGTCGAAATAAAGGTTTTTGAGGGATCAGTACCGTTAAAAATGAAATTATCATAATCTCTCCTATCTTCCTTTGGGCTAGATAACTGCGTGCTCCCCTTAATGTCTGGGGTGCTGGCGTTATTTATCTCTAATTTGTCTAGAAAACAGTTAATTTTTGGCAAATTGAAGGTCAAATTTCTTGGTTATGAGAAATTATCCAAACTTTCTGCTTACCTTTTTGCACCCCGTTGTGATTATGTCTAGAGAAAAAAGTTAGAATGAAGGATTCAGACAGAAAACATGACTAGCAACACTTACTGGTAAGTTGTTCTGTTCCTGTGATGGAAAGGATTTTCCAGGCTATTTTTGACAGTCTTAGAGGTCCTACTTCCATCTCTATATCATGTCAGATTTTTTGTTAGGCACAATTCTGCAATTTTTAAGAGGCTCTAGGAAAATTGGTCTTTTACTGTGTACAAAGTCCCAAGTATTGAACTTAGATAGCAGGTAACCGGTCATTTCTAGCTTGGAGATTTAAATAAATCATCGAAAATAGATCAAATTACTGTTAAAAATTCTGCATGTGCTAACAGTTTACTCTAAAAAGACACCTAACAGCCTTTCAAAGCCTACTAATCAGTAAAATTTTACTTTGACAGCCTACTTTTTCTCAGAGAAAATGCCTCTCTTTTTGCCGATGCTAGAATTTCTGCTAAATTCTACCTCATGCTCAATGGTCAGGGTCTCTTGGTTGGGATCTTCCATCAGTAAATAAATTATAATTTGCAATTTTGCAAAATATTTATGGGGTTTTGGGGTTTTGGGGTTTTGGGGTTTTGGGG